GAGCACAAGGGTCTCTGTCCTAGAGACAGAGCAGAGCACCTGCCCTGGATGGGCATTGTTCTGCTTCTGGCCCAATCCGGGGCTTCAAAATGACCACACTAATGACATGGTCCTGGCCCCAAGTTCTACTGAAATCTCCCAGGGAGATAAAAGACATTGGCACCAGTGGATTCTGGAGTCAAACAGGGAACCAGCAGGCTGGAACCTCTTTACTCTTAAAAACAGCTTAAAAAATATGCATGCAAAGAACTATGAGGATTCAATCTTCTCTCAGAAGTCTCCTGCGTTTTCCCTTTAGTGAAAACCTGTTTCAGTGATCGAAAGACTCCTCTAACACTCAAATAAAATGTTCCTTTCAACTATCCTCCCAATCATTTGGGTCTTCTTTTTACACTCTCTAATAGAGAAACATTAGGCCCTTCTTAAACGTCGAAAAAGTAAAGTGGAATTTTGGTCACTGTGAACAATTCAACACCCAATAAATATGTATTGAGCAACTATGAAACCCATTCCTTTGACCAAAGTGTTTGAAGAATCACTTTATCAATGGGGAGAGTAGAAACTGCTCTCGTAAATCCCCCGAGCTGGTTTGCTGTCGGTTTGGGAGTCAGAACCATCCAGGAAATTTGCTAGTGGCTCTGTCTAATTAGCACTCCTGCCACCTGCAAACAACTGGTACTAAAAAAAGCTGCTGCATTCCCACCATTGAAAATGCCAAAAAAGACACCACCAGTTTCACTCTGAACCTTAGAATCTAATAGTTCACTGATTTGGGCAAAGAAGGAAAACACATTTTCATTTTCACCCAAAGGAAATGACTATTACCAGCAAGCAGTGTTTCAGAAACTCTCACACTGGGATGGGTCCTCCAGTCCAGGAATCCTACTCCTCTACCCTCCTGGCCCCTGCCTTCCACTCTGGCGGCTCTGGGTTCCCTCTGCCCCCCAGGAAAAACCTCCTCATTCCTCAGGTCCAGTCTGACACCCACCCATCCATCCTGACCAGCCCCACTCTTACAGATCATCCCCTGCATCCCACAACACTTGGAGTCTTTTTCCCACATCTGAGCACTCAGTTATGCTTCTTGATAACAACTGTTGTTACCTTAGCCTCTGTCAAGAACAAGAACCAAGTACAGCAGTCCCACCTTATCTGCAGGGAATCCGTCCCAAGAGCCCCGGTGGATGCATGAAACTGCAGACAGTACCAAACCCTATAAGCACTGACTTTTATCCTATACCAATGGGCAGGTAGCGTACACAGCGTGGATACGCTGGACAAAGGGATGATTCACATCGCGGGCAGCATGGCATGAGATTTCATCACACTACTCAGAATGGCATGCAATTGAAAACCTATGAATTGTTTCTTTCTAGAATTTTCCATTTAATATTTTCAAACCGGGGTTGACCACAAGTAACTGAAACCACAGATAAGGGGGAGGGGGAAAATCCTGTATTGTATTTGGATGCCTCAGCCCCTTTTGGGGCACAGGCAGGGTAAAAATGAGCAGAGTGAGAAGCGCACCTTGTACCTTCCCTATACTCCTGAGAGCACCCAGCACAAGGCTGAGCGTGCGGGAGGTCCTCTGCACATGGCTGATTGCATGATTAGCATGTGCCTTTTCCACGCATCCGCAGAGCAGGGTGGCCACAGTGAAAATACAGCAGCTGTGACTTCTTACTTCCTGCTTTAATCAACACCATGGGGTTGAAATGCAGGACACACAGTAGGTGCTAAATAGATTTTTATGGATTGATTAGCCACTGGAGGGACAGTGACTTATGTAGGATTTATTCATGCTTTTGATGCCAAATAGGGGTGGTTTTAGTGGAGCAGAATGTTAGAAAAACAAAACAGCAAACACAAAACCAGACCAGCAGAGAGGCTGGCTCCTGCTCTATTTATACCCACTTCGCTCCTGGAAACAGATGTCCTCTCAGACCTGAGGGTTTCTGATGAGGCGTCCACTCTTCCAAGTGACCTGTGCATTCAGTAAACAAAGAGATGCTTTTCCCTCTTCTACATCAGCCCTCTGTGTCCTAAGACTGATTCCCAGTCCTGACTCCAGAACTGGCTGCTGATAGAGGCAAAATCAGCATCCACTGTGTCTTCTCCAAGGGAAAAGCACTGGGTTAATGACAAAAGAAACTGCATTTGTGTGTTGAGGATGGTGAAAAGAACAAAGGCTTTGGAACCAGGCGACCAGACTCAAATACCAGCTCTGCCATTTACTGGCTGTGTGATTTCAGGAGGTCACTTACCCTCTCTATGACTCAGCGCTTGGGGCTGCTAACACTAACTCCACAGGTTGCTATGACCATTGACCAGGTATTGTGGGTAGAATACCTGGTACAATGGTTGGCACATTGCAGCCACTGAGTAAATGATCGTTTTGTTGTGATTACTATTTATAAATACAAACAGGGAGGGAAGTCCGTCTCAGCCACAGTGGGCACTCCCAGACAGTAATGCTGGGGCTTCCTCTGGTGCCTCTCCAGGTGACGGCGGTAGCCTTTCCAGAACAAAGTCCTTGTCTGATGGACTGCGCAAATAATGGTCTATGCTCTGAGTGGGAAATGCATGTTCTGCAGCATTCCAGTCTACCTCCCTGGGCCTCACAAGTCCACTCCTTCCCAACCCATCTGCTTGGAGCAGACATATTAGTCCTGATCTCAGAGCCCAGCTTGGGGCATCTTCGTCAGGACAGGGAGGGCTGGGTTTTGAAGCTCACTCTACAGAGCTTGATCCCGTGCTTCATGGAGAAATCTTTGACCAGGGCTGAAGCAGCTCTCACGTGTAACACGGAACAAACCACATTTACCACAGAGAGAAATCCATGCTAACCATGGGGCTTATCCCAAATACCACAAAGCAGGGCAGTGAAAAACCCAGGACAGATCCCAGCTACGGGCAAGGTCTACACAGACAGATCTCTTACACAACACAGAGCAGATCCACTGTACGTCACCAAGAGCCTGGAGGAACAGGGGCAGATGACATGAACAACAGCACTTCAGGTGAAATGGAGCTCATGTCTAGACCAGAGCCGACTCTTCCTAAGTCTGAACCCAACAGTTCCTAGCTAGGCGGAGCCCCACTGCAGAGGAAGATCTCAGCTTCAGACTCTGGAAATCCTTATTTGCATTCAGGCTCTGGGGATGAAAGAAGGGTGGGGTGAGGAGGGGGTAGACTAGCCCACTGTGATTCTACTTCACACAGCTTTTCTCATTCTCCTGACAGGCTGGCACCCCCCCCCCCGGGGGGGGCGGTTATAAAAATCCAACCCTGAAGGCGTTGCAGCACTCTAGAACCAGCACCCCTGGCATCACCCGGCTGGATGCAGATTCAGCACAGTCTCTCTTCTCTGATAATGCCAGCAGGGAAACTGGGAGAATCCTTACACCTTCACCTAGAGATGCAGCTGAGGAAGGATTCCTGGAGTGCGTATTTCCTGCTTTCATTTGAGGATCATTCAAAATCACGTCAGACATTATGAGTACCTCAGATTGCCAGATTTTAACCTATCCCTTAACCCTGCAAACCTTAGCCACATTTCCATAATGTCTACACCTGTCCTATGTGCCATGGCTCCAGGATGTAGCCTGGTGGATCCCACAAGCTCACAGCTGGTGGGCCCATGCAGATCATTTCAGAGGACAGCTTCCTACAACATGAATGAACATTGACTCACCTGTGCCTTTGTTCTCTTTGCATTCAGTGCTTGAAGTGTTACCTGCGTCCTTTTTTAAAACCCCAAGTAATCCTTCTTTCTCCTTTCTCCCATCTACATTACCCTTCAATCACTTTTCATATACCACGTTCAGACCGTGGCATTCAAACCACATCTCGCGTTCCTCTTCAGGTTGTTGGAGGAGCTTTTGTGCCCCCACTCCCACCTGTTCCCCCTTCAAGGCACCCTCGATCACTCTTGCTTAAAGACACACCACTTCTCCTGGCTGACCCCACCGTCAAGGGGGGATTCCTCGCTGCAGTGCTTTACTCTGTCCTCTCCCCACCGCCAGGCTTCACACACCAAAACGTCATTCGATTTTTTTTCTTTTTTCAGAAAATGCAGTTACTCTAATACCAATGGGTCCTTTCCCTGGTGTTCTCATTCCCTTTCACTGATGGTCCTCCTGCTACTCTCAGTAGATGATTAGTATTTATTATTTATCAGCCACCACACTGTACTCTGCTTCCCACAAGATATTAAAGAAGGCACAATCCTTGCACCGAGTTTACAGCCAAGGAGAGAAGAGGCCTGGATTCAGATATCACAGGAATAAGCTGAAAGAGATTTACCAACGAACCCTCCCCATGCCCTGGCAGATGGGGGGCGGGGCCTGGCAGAGCCCGCCCCGGGCTGGCTCCGCCCAGTTCAAGCCAAATAGCAAGCAGCTCCCTACCTTTCCACACCCACCTCCCCAGTTTCTACCCAGGCCTCGGGCCTCAGCGGCTTCGCCGGGGAAGCGGGGGGGGGGGGGGGGGGGGGGGGGGGGGGGGGGGGGGGGGGGGGGGGCGGGCATGGGAGGGAGGGTTGTTGAAGCCCAGAGATGGGGGATGGGGGAAAAAGATATATTTCCTCTGAAATTCAAAACCAAATGAGGGAAAAGCCAGATCTAGATCTACCAAAGAAGGGAAGACTGGTGCTGAAATGAAATGTTCTGGCACAATGGAAAGCCCGCACTGGGGCTGACACGGGCTTCCGGCCAAACCTTTCCCAACAAGGTTGAAGTTAGGGTCTGTGTAGACAGCGTGTGGAGACGGGGAAGTGGTGGAACTAAGAAAGTCAGTGTAGACAGGGTGGGAGTCAGTGTAGACATGGAAGGCTGGGGTGGCCTGAGTAGGGGCTGTCTAAACAGAGAGGTCCTGTGGATTCAAGAGGGTCAGTGTAGACAGGAAAGTCCGTGTACACCGAGGAGAGTCGAGGGTCGGTGGCCAGGATTTACAGGGCTAGCCGTGGTTCTTCAGAGATTTGGACAATTCCTGCTCCTTACCGTGGCTGGAGTGTCATAGGGAGGGCGGAAGCTGAAAGACGATTGGACTTTTCGTTCTCAAACTTTTCCGCCAGTTTCCTCAGGTGTTGAGAGAGGACGGCGAGCTCGCCTCGGTCCCGTCAGCCAACCCTGGGCGGGCGGGGCCGGGAGGCTGGGGCCCAGGAGCCGGTGCCACGCGCCGTGCATCTGCCGGGCGCGGCCGCCGAGCGGGCCGAGCCGGGAGCCACCGCAGGGGGGCGGGGGCGGCGGACGGACGGACGGACGGACACACCCGCGAGCACTCCTCCCGGGCCCGGCGCGCGGCTGCTGGGTATCCCTCGGGCCCCGGGAACAGCGCTGGGCGCCCGGCCGGGGGCGCCCCGCCTCCCCCACCCTCCGCCCCCGCCCACTCGGGCGCCCGTGATTGGCTCCGCCCGCCCCTGGCTGCACGCCGCAGCCCGCCTCCCTCGCAGCTAAAGCAGACGGTACCCGGAGCGGAGCGAGCCAGAAGGGAGCATGGTCCCCGTGCCGCGGCCGCGCCAGCCCCCGCGCAGCCGCCGTCCCCGCCGCCGCGGATCTAGCTGCAGCTCCAGCCCCGGCCCCGGCTCCGCAGGGCCCGCCCGCAGTCCCGGCGGCCGCCGCGCCTGAGTGCAGCCCCCGCCCGAAGCCCGAGCCCCGAGCCCGGAGCCCGGAGCCAACCCTAGCCCCGCGGCCGCCGCGGCTGCGGGGAGAGTGGGGGGGCGATGCTGCCGGAGCCGCCGCCGCCGCCGCCGCCTCGGTGAGAGCCGCGCCGCGCCGCGCGTAGCCGCACAGGCTGACAGGCAGAAGGACTGACTTCCCTCTCTCGGGCATCCTTACTGGGCTGCCGGGAGGCGGCGGCGGAGGAGGAGGAGAAGGAAAAGGGGGAGAAGGCGGAGAGCAGGAACGCGAGGAGGTGGACCTGGATCCGTTTCTCCCGGCCAGGACCCGAGCGGCCCCAGCTACAGCTACCCGCAGGCGCCGTCCCCTATCCATCAGCCCTCCTGCGCCCACTCGCGACCCCAGGCTCTCTGCGCGTCGGACCGGGGCCAGAGCCGCGCGGCTGGAGGTAAGAGCCAGGCTAGGGCAACAAGGATGCGGCGCCGGGGACCCAGGGTCCTGGAGGCTGCGTGGGGCCGGGCCGGGCTTGGGAGCGGGGCCCGAGTACCCGGAACGCTGGGCTCGGCACCCGCGGCGGCGGCGGCGGCAGGAGCCTCCCGCGTCTGGACTCGCAAGGCTGCAGAAGCCCTTGCGCCTGCGCTGCTCCAGGGGGGGAAAAAGGCGGAGGGGGGGGGAAACTTCCTGCCCCCGGGTGTGTATGCACAGGGGCTGCCCGAGGCCAATGTCGCTGTGGTAGGGGGCGCTGGAAGCGAGTGTGACCCCCCCCCCCCCCAGCCGAGGCAGCTCTTCGGCTGGGCCCGACAGCATGCGTCCCTCTCCAAGCCACCTCCCCTGAGCGGCCCAGGGCCCGAGCCGGGCTGGGGGCCAAGAAGAGGCACCGGAGGGCTGGACGCTGGGGGCGGCCACGCGTCTGGCCTTTGGGGAGGTGCGCGCCTCTGTGCAGCGGAAAGCGAGGTTGGGGTTTCTGATCCCTCCCGTCCTCAGACCCTCATTTGGGGACCTGGTCTCTTCACTCAATCCCAAGTAACTTTCGAGGTAGAGGAGCGAGAAAACCACAGGGAGGAAGCCCATACAGACCTTGTTGTGACCCGCCTTCCCTTAACGCCTTGTGGGTGCCAGCGTCTTTGGTGGGGGGGCGCGGAAAGGAGAGCGTACGGGGCTGGTGAAGCGGCTAGGATGTGTTGGGTGGGGAGGGGTTGTTTATGTGCGGGATAGTGTGGACGGGGAGATGTGTAATGTGGGAGTGTGGACGCGCGCCCAGACTGCCGCGGGAGGTGCCAGGTGGCAGAGGGCTCATGTCCGGGTCTCTGTGGCCTGGAGCGAGCCGAGAGCGCGAGGGTTATATGCGGTCGCGGCGCGGTTGCGGACGCTGGGCAGTGCGGGCTCTGGGCCCCGAGGGAGGGGAGAGCTCGCCCGGGGTCGGGAGAGCAGAGTCGAGAGCCCGGATAGGTCCGAGGCAGCTCCCGGGCAGGTTGGGTCTGCGTTGGCTGGGGAAGGCGGAGACGCGCTGGCTGCCTGCAGCCAACGGTGATGGGGCCAAAGCGCGAGTCTCGGATGCCTGGGTCCGCTAGCTGAGAAGCCAGTTGTCGTTCCTGAGCTCTGGAACCCAATGGTAGACACGGTCAGTTGGTGGGTCCCCCCGGGGGTCCCTAGGGAGCCGCCGCCTTTGCCATCCCTGCCGCTCTGCAAACGCTCTCCTCTCTCTCTACGGTGCTTGCGCCGCGGCGCGCCCGGCGCGAATCGTGGGCGCAGGTATTTATGCAGCATTAGACGAGACCTCGGCGCTGGAGGGACGGGACCGCTGAGGACGCCGATCTGCTGCTGCCCGCGAAACTTCCACTTCGTCAGCTCAGGGAAAGTCAGGCTCCACTGCTGCAGGCTCCAGCCTCTCACTAGCCGAGCTATGCTGGGATTCGGACTCCTCTTGCAGTGACAGATCTGTCCTGGTTACAGCTGTATTTACCCTAATTTCAGTCGCTTTAAAGTCATCTGTCTACTCACTACAGAGTACCTTTTCTTGCCATGCGGTCTTATCTCCAACTCAGCCCTGGGAGGGCAGATTTAAGGAATTATTTCGGTTTAGGATGAATGACAGCAGATTTAATTAGCCCACCTCATTCGTGATTTTTTTGAAAATTACAATGGAGAGTGCAGAGCTACTTTTTCACTTTTGGGGGGGGAGGGCATGATGAACAACTTTATTGATTGTTCATCCCGACTCTTGGCCAAAACGTCGGATAATTCACAGGTGAATACTTTAAAGGCTGGTTGGCATGCATGTATTTGAGTAGTCACATATTCTAGGCATTTATACTAGTATGGAGCTGTGTGCCAGTGGTGAATACAGTCTCCGTCCGGTACATTGTTCTGAGTGCACTTGATTTATCATCCTGCTATAAATCAGGGAATTACTAGCATATGTGCCCTTAAACTCTATATGAATTTAATGGCATTTAAATTAGTTTATGGGCTGATGTATTTAACCAATTTTAATAACTTTTCTGCACAAACATCTTATAAACCGTATTTGTCCGTGATTAAGAAAAAACATTTTCTTCTGTTCAGTCTCTCCATTTCTAGCAGTTAACAGAAATTTATAGGTCTCCAACTTTCATTTGCAAGCAACAATCCAAACGAAATACCTAGAGTTGTACTGAAATAAAATATCCTATGGTAGCCATGGTAACAAATAGATTAAGGGTTACTGGTTTTCATGTGTATGTGAAGGAAGTGAGGAATCTAGGTTGTGTCTTTTTAATTATGCTTCTAATGAGTGGTGGTCATACTTCAAGTACTCAATGCGGGAGATAAACAAGACTGAGAATTCAGTTTTGTGAGAGGTTTATTGGAACAAAGACTAGTAGAGCCCAAGAGAATGACTTCTGCTAACTGCAGCTCCTCATATCCAAAAAGCAAATGATAAAACCTTTTTTGTTTTTCAAGTAGATGAGAATTGAGTTAGTCCCTTGAAGAATAGAAAATTTATTTTGTAAAAGAAAAGGAACCTTTAAATCCAGCCCGTGTTTTCTAGGAATAAACATGTTCGAAGTGTGGATGTTGGTGTGGATTGTCACAGTTGTTATCAACACCTGTCAATCTCAGTGAGGCATATCATTAGTGTATTCAGATCTTGCCTATTTCAATATTCATGCATTTCCATGGTGATCCATTCCATTTTTGTTTACTTAGTCAACCTTATAAATCTTTGGCATCAATTTACGTTGTACCATCTTTTTTTCTTTCATTTATCAATTGATTTGACTGCAAATCATTCCCAGTTTAAAGCATTTTCTTTTTTTTTTCTCTCTATCTGCTAGTTCCCAAAAGTTTACACTATTCCTGGTTGCACACAGATATAAAAGGGTTAAATTTTTTTAATCGACTCAAATAACACCACTGATGCTAATGTAGTTTTTTAGCATCTCATTTGATATGTGTGTGTGCATGGGGTTTTTTGGTTTGTTTTTCTTTTTTCTTCCAGCAGGCTTACCCTAAAGCTTTCTCACTTTATGGCCTGGAGATGTCAAGCCAACCAGCAGAATTGACTAAACGTTTCCCTCTCTCCCTTCTTTCCTTCCCTCCTTCCTTCTTTCCTTCTTTCCTTCCTTCCTTCCTTCCTTTTTTCCCCTCCTACCCTGTTATGGTTCAAGGATTCTTTATGTCTTCAGCTGTATCTGGCTTAAACAGACTTCTGGACTTTGTGTGCTGGAACAAGCCTGTCCTCCTAGGATCTTTTCTCATCCAGTAGTAGCCAAAGACAGAAGGTTCTGGAGCATCTGAGGCTTTTTCTGAATACGATATACGTTTAGTCACAGCATATAGTGTCTCTAGGATCATTGTAACATCGTTAAGTTCACTGAACAGGAAGCTTTGCTTAAATGCGAGTGATGATTTTGCTCACCCGCTTTCAACTTTGCTTTCTAATGATGCAGTCCTATGCTAATCACACCCTGTATATTTTAGAAATATCAAGGCAAGCATTAGCACGCTACTGACTTATTAGGATCAGGCAAAATAATTGGAGCACTTAAGTTCAAAGTCAGATGGAGAAACGGAATTATAACCAATCTTGTGATTCTGTAATCGGTCAGCTAAGTGCTTACTTGGGGATAGGGGGAGGAATAAACACCATGAATAAGAAGTCCAGCCTTTGGTTGTGGTGGGCGAGGCTAAACCAAAGCAGAAACCATGTAGGATGACTGGAGAATAAGAGATCTCTTTGCAGGGAATTCCCTGGTGGGCCAGTGGTTAGGACTCTGTTCTCACTGCCAGGGCCCGGGGTTCAATCCCTGGTGGGGGAATTAAGGTCCCACAAGCAGCGTGGCAAAAAAATGAAAGAAAGAAAGAAAGAAAAGAAATCTCTTTGCAGACAGATAAATCACATGTAAACCCAAATGTTTAGAAACTGGAAGAATGTAGTTTATGCAGAAGATGGTCGTTTGTTATTACTCAGGAAATTGGGATTCATCTCCTAACATGCTAAAAAAAAATAGTCTGAATAATTTTGGTTAAGAAGGAAAAGTGTGTCAGAATTTTTTACCTGCCTGCTGAGATCAAGGTCACTCTGAAAGCAAACTCTGGTTCTTCCTACAACAGCTACCCGCTTACCTTCCTGAAGTCCTAGGTCAGAAAGGTAGTCTCTGCTTTCTTTAATGAAATCACTTGAAAACAGGGAAATTGAAGCTGCA